GAAATGGTAAAATGTCTCACTTCCAACATCTGATATATACGGAGCCCCGGAGATTTGTTTTTATAACTTTAAATATTTCTTTATTGATTCACATGCATTAAAGTGTTAATGTTAACCCTGCTTAAAAATCACCATTTCAAGTTTCTGCTGGTTCCTGATGGTGTCCAATAGTCTCTAATGGTGTTTAGTGTTTTCCTGGTGGATTTATATCACAGGACTACAATGGTTTAACAGGTGTTCTGATTCCAGATGCATTCGATGGTTTCCTAATGGGATCAAAAGTTGTCCTACAGGTATGTATACAATTACATGTTTTTGTTGATTCTCTAAGTGTAAATAAGTGAACACATCCTATACAGAGACACACTTCCACACATTTCAATACACACTTTCTGTTTATTAGCTGAATTTAGCATATTGGGAGGAAAAAAAAACTAAAATGTGGCCTGTGCGAAAAATGATGACACATTTTACATTTATGTTTTATGTGTTAAATTTAAGCTGAACTTGTTAAACTCAAGAAACTGTGCATTTAATGAGCAGAAAAATGTCATACTTAAGTGTGTCTCTGTAGAGGATATGTTAACTTATTTTCACTTCAAAATCAACAAAATGTAACTTTTAACTGGGATGTTCAAACTTGTCCATACAACTATTTATCGTATTTAACAGAAAATTACACAAACGCCTCAACAACTAAATATAATATCAGAGGTTTCAGTGTGTTTCACAATCCAAGTAATCAATTTTTTAAACACATTTATTGTCCTTTGATTTTCTGCTTCCTTATGCATGTGGATCTTATATCCAGTCTCCTCAGAAATATCTCCTGAAAAATTAATAACTTCTACTTAATGGCTAGTTTGACTGGAAACAAAATAAATGACTTCTGCACAGCACTGTATGTACCTCTTTAGTCCAGTGTTGTGTATCTGTATCTGTGTGATGGCTGTGCATGTTTAATTACACTCATAGAAACTGACTGTAATTTGGATAATGATCGACTGTGTACAGCTGAAGATAAATAAGAGAAAATCAGTCAATCAATACGTAACCCCGACTGACACACTTCATCTACCATGGTTCAGAGCGGTCAGAAAGCCTCGGGCAATCCACCCAACACACAGTCCCCATGATTAATTTATGAACACATACGCCCCCCCCGCCCCCTGCTCTTATATCCTATGCTGTGTGATGTGCTAACAGAGTTATCTTCAGTCCCAAACTTTCCATCTGCACTGCTGCGCTTTAAAGAGGCCTGAACACACATCCTTTTGGCCAAGGTGAATCAATAGCCATGAATAATTTGTGTTCATTTGAGAGGGAAAAGGGAAGACAGAGTACACATAAACATCCTCTTCTCCCAGAATACTGATGCACAGAAAAACGCCCGCTATTATTTACTCTGTGGCCACTTTCCAGTCAGAGGAGACACTTATTAAGCTCCTGATGCTATTCAGCACCGCGGGTCTCAATGCAGAGCAAAAATATTTAGAATATTTAGCTGTTTTTAGAAAGATTTAAAGATATTTGAAGAAGGAAAGAGTGAGAGTGAGACAGGCAGATCCACACCATTTGCTAACAGGTGGATAAAATTGAGCACATAGCCTTGCAGTCTCGATAGACAAACACTGGCAGTAGAATGGGTCGAACTGATGAGCTTAATGACTTTAAACATGGAACTGCCATAGGATGCCACCTCTGCCACAAGTTAGTTTGTGAAATTTCTTTCCTGCTAGATCTGCCCCTGTCGACTGTAAGTGATATTATTGTGAAATGGGAGCATCTAGGAGCAACAGCTCAGCCACAAAGCAGTAGACCACACAAACTCAGAGTGGGGCCACCGAGCACTGAAGTGTGCAGTGTGTTAAAATCCTCCATCCTCTGTTTCATCTCTCACTACAGAGATCCAAACTGCCTCTGGAAGCAACATCAGCACAACGAATGTGTGTCAGAAGCTTCATTAACAGGCATCATGGTGAGCAGTTAGATCCCATTGTTTTGAAGTAATTGTGTCCCAAAGTCGGAAAATCAGTGTGAAACATTAAGAATTGTCACTAACGAAACACAAATTTACTGTAGTTAAGTATGTTTTTGGGTTTTAATGAATGATACGTTGATTTTATGTGTGTACAACTGTTCAAAGCTGTGTTTGCTGGTTATATACTGGCTAAGTTTTTGAATTCTGCTCAAAATGAGCTAAAACTGTCAAAAATATTGAAAATACTGTTTCGGTAAAGTTTTGATTTGATTGTTTTAGTAGCGACAAAATGTATATATACACACACACACACACACACACACACACACACACACACATACATACATACATACACATTTTATATATATATATATATATATATATATATATATATCACCTACAGAAAATATATACACTACGTAGAAAAAGAAAAAGAGACGAGAGAACAAGAGCGTGAATGTCATGCTTTTTTCTCCCAGGTTAAAGGTCTCTGTAACACTGATCTGATGTTGTGCACAAGCAGCTTCCACACACACTCTCAAACCTACATGGACAAGAGACACTGTGTGTGTGTGTGTGTGTGTGTGTTAATGAGAAATTCCTGCTCTGTGTTGTTCGACTCTGAGTGTCACTGTTAGCCGTACACTGAGAGAGTGAATATTTTATTCATCAGATCACTCCTCTGCATGTGAATATATTCATGAAGGCTAGTTTAGCTCCAGCTCTCCGTTTGCTGTGTACATGAAAGGAAATTATTCATGTGCTGAATGTCAAAGCAGATCACGCTGCTCTGCGACCGTGGAGACAGAGGGACCACAGGTCATGTGACCCAAACCATGACATTGTTAGATGAGTAAGGGGACACGCCTGAGAGGAACTATTCCTTATTCACTAAACAGCGCACTCTTTTACGTTGTCCGAAAACACAGCTGAGAATATACCACACAATATACAGTCCCATAATGCACTCCAAGAAGTCTGTGTCATATGTGATGGAATGTGCCTACTGTGGTGATGTGATCAACACATGTAATGTAGGCTTATGAAAATACTTTAAAGTTTACTTTAAAAATGTATTCAGTTCTTTAATACATAAATACATACACACACACACACACATCTTTTTTTCTATATAGCATTTATATTTTCTCACTGTGAGCTCAACTTCCGAGTTCAAGTTTCAAGTTTATTTGTCATTTGCACAACATGTCAGGACATTTATGCATTGAAATGCTTGTGGTGAGGCTCAGCTAATCACTCACAGAAAGTAAATAAGTAAAAATAAAAATACAAGAAAAAACAACTGAAATATATTAAATATACACAAAATATACACAGAATATATACAGAATATAGAGACAATATACATTTTAAAGTGACTAAGTGACTCTGTGTTATTGTTATTTAAAGTGACTTGGTACTTTTAAAGCAAAGTATTTGTAATGGTCCATAATGAATTTACTTTCAATATCTTTTTTAATAAAACAAATGGAAGTAATGTGGTAAGTGAACTACAAGGCTCTCATTCAGTGCTCTTGTTTGGAGCACGAGAAGCTGCTGCTACTCATCTGTGATAAAATGCGCAGTTACGGTGAAATAAGATCCAGTGCCAGTGGATGTCCACGCAGCACGTTACAGCTATTCTACCCATTTTCTTTAGTGATTTTATAACTTCGGTTTTGGTCTCGTTGTAGAGACGGGGGGATCGCTGTGTCAGTAAAATATCCCTGAGACGGGTCGTGTGCAACATAGCACGAAAGCCCTGTTTTGCAACGACTGAGAACTGGCGTGCAGACTGCAGGTCACAATAGCAACGATGTGTTATTCACATTTATAAGCAGCGCAGTTGGTTTCCTGGTACGTTAAATCTGCAACGAGAGACTGTCACACACTAAAAAGTGGCGAATTCTCCCATTCCACCTTAAATGGTGCCGCATTTACATTCGGCGCCTCAGTAAGAATTTAAGGGTGAACAGTAAATTCGAACAAGAAGCTGGAGAATAAGAAGCGACTTCAGCCTCGGAAAACAGTCGAACATTTTACAAGAAACTGATCTACTTCTGAGGTTTTCTGGCGGAGACGGGAGGAAAGCGGCTACAGCTGAGCTAAAGCTTAAAGCAGAACAACGTAAATCTGCGCTCTAGTTTATATTGTTTAGCCTATACTAGGACATTATCACATACTGAGACATACTGGACATTAAATGTTGTGGCTCCCAAGGTGGTTTGATTTTTGTTGAAAGGACAAAATGTTAACATTTGTGTTGTGACTCCTGACCTAACCTGGCTTTAATGCAGAGGGAGCCGGTCGTATTTCTCGCTCTTCCACTTGTGTTTTTGTTACGTGCCGCCACAGACTGTCCGGGCGCTGCATTTCCGCACTTCCAAGTTCCGCCTTTTGCGTTCCGTCAACATTACGTTATAAATAAATATTTAGAAAATCGATTTTTGACATTTGTGAATCGATTCAGAATCGTTCACGTCCACATCACGATGCATCTAAGAATCGAATTTTTCCCTGCACCCCTAATATACACATACATACACCACATATATATATATAAAACAATATTATAATATAGCAATAATAGAACATTCCCTAAAATAGTGTTCTAATTTTCAAGTGTAGGGAAAAAGAACAGTGAGTAGGGGACTATTTCCACTCCCTACAATAGTGTTCTAGATAGTGTTCCAATGTAGGGAATAGTGACTAGGGGACTATTTCTATTCCCTATATCAATGTTTTGTATAGTGCTCCAGTGTAGGGAATAGTGGTTAGTGGACCTTTTTTTTGTTCCCTATAATAATGTTCTATATCGTGTTCTAGTGTAGATAATACTGATTAGGGGATCATTTCTGTTCCCTATAACAGTGTTCTATATAGTTTTCTAATATAGGGAATAGTGATTAGGGGACCATTTCTGTTCCCTATAATAGTTGTCTATATCAATGCAGTTAAATCGCCACCTTCAAATTAATGCATTTTACCCCTTAATAAATATATACAGAATGAACTGTACCTGGATGTGTTCTCCAGAGTTCCTTTGACATCATTTATTTGGTCTCGGCCAAAGTAGACAACAGTGAGGTGCACTCGTCCGTCCTGCTTTATGCACACCTCTCTGAGGAAAAACAAAACACACACAGATCAGTTTACTGTGCCTGAACAGATGAGCTCCACACCCTCCCAGTTCCCGCTGCCAAGAGCTCTGTAATAAAAAATGCATGATGACTATTTTAAACTAATGCTGACTCCTCTTAGAGAAGTAAAGAGTGACACTGCATCTACATTATAGCACAAACTCACATCTGCACAGGCCGAGAGAGGAAATTTCAAATCTGCCACAAATTATGCCACAAAGGACATCTCTCACACTGCCCCTCATAGACATATCATACAGACTCATAAGCATATTAGCAAAAACCTGGGATACCATAGCAATGCCCTAGCAACACTTTAGTAACCACTTGGGATTCCACAGCAATAGCCTAGCATCACCTGAGTATCCGCCTGGGATACCACAGTAATGGCCTAGCATCACCTTAGCAATGACCTGGGATACCACAGCAGTGGCCTAGCAACACCTTAGTAACCACCTGGGATTCCACAGCAACAGCCTAGCAACACCTTAGTAACCACCTGGGATTCCACAGCAATAGCCTAGCAACATCTTAGCAACCACCTGGGACAACATAGCAACACCTTAGCGACCATTTGAGATACCATAGCACTAGCCTAGCAACATCTTAGCAACCAGCAGGGATACCATGTCATCAGCCTAATAACAACTTCACAACCACCTAGGATCCCATAGCAATGGCCTAGCAATATCTTAGGAACCACCTGGGACAACATAGCAACACCTTAGCAACACACCTAGGATACCATAGCAATGGCACAGCAACATCGTAGGAACCACCTGGGATAACATAGCAACACCTTAGCAATCACCTAGGATACCATAGCAATGGCACAGCAACATTTACCATATAAGATACAATAGCATCAGCCTAGCAACACCTCAGCAACCATTTAGGATACCACAGCAACGGCCTAGCAACATCTTAGCAACCACGTGAGATTCCATAACAATGGCAAGACCTTAGCAACCACCAGCCAACTTGAAGTTCAGTCTAAACTTTCCCCTTCTCGTTTTACAATAGCAACTATTAGCTTGATTAGCTTTCCAACGCACTTACGTATATCCACCTTCAGCCTGCACCAGGTTAGCTCCGCCCACTCACACTGAGGTCATAAGGAGTGTTTCAGCTTGAACTGCCTTTAGAATGAGGTACAATACAAGCTCATCTACATACACTAGCATTCAAATGTTTAAAATGAAAGTTTCAAACAAATTACAAGTGTAAACGGATCAGAAGTGTTTGAGGAGATTAAACAAACACAAAAGAGAAGCGCAGACAGACGCGAAGCTCCAAAGTGACCTCGAACACAGTCAAAACATGGCCAGCAAACCGCGGTGTGAAATTCCAGCACTGTGAGACACATTCTGAGAGACGGACGCTAAATATTCCAGGTTAATGCTGACTCTGCATTTTTCTTTTATCTTCCTCCGCCAGCGGAAAAAGGCAAGGGCACTGCTGGGCTTGACTCTGAGCTTTCGCTCAGGGGTCCCTCAGGGACACGGAGAACTTCGTCTTTGATTATATTCCACATGCAGTGTCTGCGTCTGATCTCGCTCAGGTGCCCTTCAGTGCCAAGACGCCAAACGTGCTCATCTGCGTTCAGAGCAGAGCTCTAATGAGAAGAACAGACTGAGAGAAAGTTCAAACACTGCCAGACACAGACACACAGCTATTTCTGCCCTTTCACCGCTTTTACAGAAAAATACATCAAATAACTGAGACATATTCACACGATTAGCATTACAAAGATAAAGTTCTGGAGTGCTGTCTTTTATTTTCATTGTGTGTGTGGGTGTGCTTGTTTTCACACATTTTCAGGACTTTGTAGTAGAATAAGAGAAGCACAGGGCCAACAAAATGCTTTTCCCACTGATTTTTCAAATTTTCTGCATAATTTAGTGTTTGTGATGCAAACAGAGAGATTCGGAGTGGTTTGGTGTGAAATGGTTCAGATTTCTTTACAGTGGTGCTGATAGGGACCAGGGGTCGCCATGACTACAACACAAATATAGACATTTTATTTACTATCCAAAACCACCAGTGAACCTACACGTGTCTTCTGACTTTTATATGGAATGTTGATGATGGGAAAATAGTGGTAGAGACTATTTTGCCCCACAACAGCCTGCATGAACCTCTCTGCCATGAATGTGTTTTAAAAATTGCTCTTTAGGCCAAAACCTAAAACAGCCATTATATAACAGTGTCTCAGACATCAGGCAGCGTATTCATAACCATTTCATGTAATAACTTTCTGTGAGGGAGCTTTTAGAGGTGGACGTCTTGTTCCTATCATCACCATTGTGAACAATTTTGACTCTAAAACAGAGCATTTCACACCAAACCAATCTGAATGATATATAGAATATATATATATATTCTATACCTACATCCTCATATATGTGTGTACAGGATACATATATGTGTGACCCCCCATGTACTGACAAATGAGTATGAAAACAAATAAATATGTGAGTGTGTTTTTATATATTCTATTTTACATAAGATCAGTGTGTTCTCTTCAGATTTCTGTGATGTCGTCTCCTCTCTCCTCTGTCCTTCCCTCTTCCCCTCTTCTTCTTCCATGCATCTTTTCTGCTCTCCTATCCTTTCCTCTCATTTCATCTCCTCTCCTCTCCTCTTTTCTCCAGGCTCTAAATTATGCATGAGGCAGAAGTGAGTGTTCAGCTGAAAACTTGAGGTTTCTAGAGTAGAATCTGGTATTTTCAGTGGAAAAATACACAATCTGCACCAGTTTCAGTAAGAAGCTTGTGAATGCATTTTAGCTAATTTAATACATACTGTTGGATTGTATATGACATACATACAATTATATGTCCATATAAATAACACACACGTGTGTGTGTGTGTATATTCTGTATGTATATATATATATATATATATATATATATATATATATATATGTGTGTGTGTGTGTGTGTGTGTGTGTGTGTATATATATATATATATATGCATATGTATATGTACATGTAATATATACTAACATATACTGACATATTTTCTCATTTTGTATTTTTTTAATTATAAACACTTGTAAACGGTCTGTGCTTGTCTGGCCTGTTCAGTGTGTTACATATCATACAAGTTCTTTTATGTGTAACATACTTGGTGAAATAAAGTGATTGCAATTATGATTCTGATTGGGTTACAAACACCCTTATCGAACAAGAAAACACAAACAGTAATCAGGGTTAATTTAACTCTGTTGTGCTGGTTCAGCTCCTGGACTCAGAAGTTCCACTACAGTTCTCTACTTTACTCAGTACTTAAGTAGTTTTTTTTCAGCTGAAAATGTTGTACTTCTACTCAGGCTGTGTTTTGGAAACATACATTTACTCACTATTAAATTGAAGTAACAACAAATTTACTGAGTTCAATTTTACTGAGGTGTACTCTACTATTTACATGTTCACAGTTCTGATCAGATGATCTAAAGATGAATCTTTCTAAGACAGACTTGCAGCTCATACATCAGAACATCAGACAAGGCCAGAGTGAACCAGTAACGGTTCAGCTCAGAGGAACAGAGGGAGGAGAAGAGGGAGAAAGAAAAAAAAAGAAGAAAAACAAACAGAGGAGAGAAAGCCTAAGATAGATAGATAGATAGATAGATAGATAGATAGACAGACAGAGAGACAGACAGACAGACAGACAGATAGATAGATAGATATACAATGAGAGAAAAAGAGAAATAGAGACAAAAAGAAACAAGGGAGTTAGAGAGAGAATGAGATAGTGAGAGAGTGAGATAAAGAGAGAGTGAGACAGAGAGTGCGAGAGAGAGGGTGAGAGAGAGTAAGAGATAGAGTGTGAGATAGAGATAGAGTGTGATATGTATATAGAGTATATATATGTACATATGTAGAGAGTGAGAGAGAAAGAGTGAGTGAGATTGAGAGAGGTTGTTTGTGAAAGAGAGAGAGAGAGAGTGAGAAAGAGAGAGAGAGAAAGAGAGAGAGCGAATGAAAGAGAGTGAGATACAGAGACAGAGAGAGATGGAGAAAGAGAGAGAAATAGAGATACAGAGAGTTAGACAGAGAGAGAGAGAGATTTGAGTAGTTTGTACCTGAAGTTGTGCATGAAGTGTCTGAATTTGTCGGCTCGGTGTGAGAGCGGGAGGATGATGTTGATGAGCGCGTGCTGCGTCTGCACTCGTTCGTCCGAAACCTTCATTAACGGTCCGAACGGTCTGAACAGCACCAGCCTGCGGAGCTGCTGCGGCTGCTCTCCACGGAACGACAGGTCATACAGCGTCCCTTTATCCTTCTCTGTACGTGCAATACCTGCAGGGGGCGACACACAGGCACACACAAAAGACTCTGTATCAGAATCAGGCTTACTCAACATACACATTAAAGTGATAGTTCTGCCTGAGTCAAACTCTCAGATTCTCAATTTTACCCAACATTTAGTTGACAAGAAGTGTTTGGTGCCTGAAGCTTGCTTCTTTAGTTTCAGCACTGGAGCTGTGAGGCTAATGTGGCTAACAAGTAACAGAAAGCTAATGCCCCACCAAATTTTTAAAATTGTAAGCAAATTGTTCTGCTTGAGCTCTACCACTGGACTGTAAATACACTCGCATTTGCAATTGCATCTGGTATATTTTTTAATGACAGCTACGCTCTTAAAAAAGATGGTTCTTCAAAGGTTCTTGAGCAAAGAAACTGGTTCTGTATAGAAACATGAACAGTCAAAGGATCCTTTGCATGATTCAAGGGTGCTTTGCATTGTGAAAGTGTTCTTCAGATGGATCAAAGAATGTGTTTTAAATGATTCTATAGAGAACCTTTTTGAAAAGGGTTCTATATAGTACCAAAAAGGGTTCTGCTATTGTTACAATACAAGCTTGTAACAATAGCAGAAGCCTCTCTGCATCCCTTTTTGAGCAAAACTACAGCATAATACAGCAAATAACACACTAAAGAACCCATATTCTACATCTTTCTTGTATTTTTTTTCAGAAATCATAATTCATTTTCCTATCTCTCTTTGTCTCTTAGAATTAGACAGGTTGTTTTTGTTACTGTACCTTTAAGACTAAAATATGTAAATGAGCTCTATTCTGAATGGCTGTGCCTCATTTAAGAAGCAGTCCAGGCTGAAACATTCCTTATAACTGCAGTGCGAGTAGGCGGGGCTAAACTGCTGTAGGCTGAATAGGCAGACATATGTAAATGTGTGGGCTTTAATGACATCACAAAAACAGCTCAATTAAAACAGGCTGTTTTTGCAGATTAGTTTCCGTATATGGACTGTATTGAGTGAGGCACGAATGTCTACATTTTATAATTTTGACACTGTTTACATACTAAATCAAAATCTTTTATTTAAAAAAATGTGAAGTAAATATGTTTTTTTTTTTATAACACCGGCCCTTTAAACTCCAGTTTTAGACTAGAATGCCCTTTTACGCTAACTGGGAATGGGATCTTTGCACTCAGTTCTGCTTCCTAATGATGGATTACAGGGTTTCAGATGTGGAGGGGCTGCAGGAACATTTGAGACTTCACCTCAAGGCCTTCAAAACAGCTGGAGGACGGTCACGCACAAAGACCGTGCCAAAACAGATTCCATTACACACTTAAATCCATCAACATCTGTATCATTTTCTCACAGCGATTCAACAAAACCCTCTCAGTGGATCTGCACTGAACGCCATCAAACGTTCTATTGTTCAGATCGGAAATCAAAGTCAGGAATCAAAGACTCAAACAGACTCTTGGTTGTGAAGGAAATGTGGTTCACATGAGAGTTTGCACCGTCTCTACATCCGTTTCACTTCTGCCGCTCCTCCATCTGCTGTGGAAAACATTCTACAGAATGTCCCTATCAGATCATTTTTCCACTATATTACATGCTGATGTTTAAGGGGTTAAGGGGTTGTTTACAAGCTAATGTCTCCTATTCAAGTGTTTATGGGTGTTTATTTAACCCCTTAAATGGTCAGAGCCCACTAACAGGCCCAAAGTTTTATTACACACTTCCATAACTTAAGAATAGCTCAGTCAGTTTGCATTGGAGTCCCTGTAGTTACTGGATAATAAGCCTTAGTATGTAACAACCCTGAGATTTTAAGGGGTTAAGTTGCTTACGGACTAATATATCCTGTTCTAGTGTGTAGGAGTGTTTACTGAGGTTGTTTACAGAGTAATATCTCATATTCTCACATGAGTGCTTGTTGAGGTTTTCTATAGACTAATATCTCATATTCTAGTGTACTGAAATGTTTATTGAGGTTGTTTATGGACTATTATCTCCTATTCTCATGTAGAGGAGTGTTTGTTGAGGTTGTTTATGGACCAATATCTCCTATTCTAGTGCAGAGGAGTGTTGATGTTGTATATGGACTAATATCTCCTATTTTAGTGTGGAAGAGCGTTTGTTGAGGTTGTATATGGACTAATATCTCCTATTCTAGTGTAGAGGAGCGTTTGTTGAGGTTGTATATGGACTAATATCTCCTATTCTAGTGTAGAGGAGCGTTTGTTGAGGTTGTTTATGGATTAATATCTACTATTCCAATGTATAGGAGTGTTTGTTGAGGTTGTTTATGGATTAATATCTCCTATTCCAGTGTACAGGAGTGTTTGCTGAGGCTGTTTATTGACTAATATTTCTTATTGTAGTATATAAAAGAGTTTACTGAGGTTTTATATGAACTGATATCTTCTATTCTAGTGCAGAGGAACGTTTGTTGAGGTTGTTTATGGACCAATATCTCCTATTTTAGTGCAGAGGAGCGTTTGTTGAGGTCGTTTAATGGACTAATATCTCCTATTCTAGTGTAGAGGAGCATTTGTTGAGGTTGTTTATGGACTAATAACTCCTATTCCAGTATATAAGACTGTTTATTGAGGTTGTTTATTGACTAATATTTCTTATTCTAGTATATAAAAGAGTTTACTGAGGTTTTGTATAAACTGATCTCTTATACTAGTGCAGAGGAGCATTTGTTGAGGTTGTTCATGGAATAATGTTTCCTTTTCTAGTGTTTAATGAGGTTGTTTACAGACTAATGTCTCATTCTAGCGTAGAGAAGTATTTATTAAGGTTGTTTATGGACTATTGTCTCCTAGTTTAGTGTATAGGAGTGTTTATTAATGTTGTTTCTGGATTTAGGCCTCCTATTCTAGTATATAGGAGCATTTATTGATGAACATCTCTTATTCTAGCATATTTAGTATTTATTGAGGTCATTTATGAACTAATATCTCCTATTTTAGTGTACAGGATTGTTAACTGAGGCTGTTTATGGACTAATATCTTCTCTTCTGCTGTATTGCACACTGTATTTCAGATGTTAAGCTTGTGCTGAATCTGGGGCACTGTATCTATGGGACTCTACAGTCATAAGACGATGTTCCTGTCAAAAATAGAAAAAAAAAATTCAAAGGTGTGCAACAGTGAGAAGACCTCAGTGTAGGACTGAAAGGGTTAATGCCAAGCAAAATCACTAGAAACTCTCAAAAGCATGGCCTTGGCCTACAAGCAAGAGCAAAAGAAGAAAAGACTCAATCAAGCAGACAAACCATAACGGCGATTTCATTATCACTGAAGTGCGAGAAGAGGAGACTTTAAAGGTGAAACGTGTGTGACACACAGGGAAATGTTCTTATTTCTTTTGAGCGCTGCTTCCTTAGAGTCTATCAGCACCATCTTGTTCCATTTCACACACACACACACACACACACACACACACACACACACACAAAGTCCATTTACTGCAAACGCTGGGTTGTTACAGAGGCCATTTGAATCAATGCAGGCCACTAATGGCTGAGACATCAAAGCAAAGCCTCAAGGGCCAAAACCATAACCAGCGCACGCTGCAGTGAAGCAACAGTTAAAGGAACGGTTTAGCGAAAGACTAAATTCACACTGTTTTCCCATTTACCACAAATATTCAATCAACTAAGACATTTGCTGTCTAAGGTTTCCCTGTTTAGTTGACTCTAATCATCTGTTTTACCTCAGCTAACATCATTAGCTCAGCCACATCACGTGTCACTTCTTTTAGCTGGAAAACACTGAGCTAGTGAAGAGTTAGTTACCTGATAAAGTCACTAAAAAAGTTAAACGTTTTATTCCATTAAATCTATTAGATAAGAGTGTAAAAAAGGACTTAAGCTTGATGTTTATTGGCACTTGTCCGCGATGCTTCCTATAGCTGCACTTTATACTGCATTGCAGAGCTTCTTGTCTGATGTGCAGTAGCCTTTAGACGGCTGCTATGGGTTTAGAAAGGAGTATAGAAAGTCTGACTGAAATGTAAGACAGCTCATGGCTCTTATAAGAATGTATAATGCTAGTGCAAGCTCATTTGCATTTCAAAAATCCTAATGTACAACTTGTTTTTTGTGTTTCTTGTTTAACAATCATGACTATACACTTAAAATCCCAGTCTTCTTACATACTAAGGCTTATTGTTCAGTCACTACAGGGGCTTCAATGCAAACTATCTGGAGTTATTCTTACATCATAGAAGCATGCAATAAAGCTTTGGGCCCACCTGGGCTTTTAAGGGGTTGAAATATTTTAACATTCTGACTCATCCCCAAGGACGTAGCTGTAACTTGTAGAAAGCAGTGACCAGGGAAGCCCCAGAGGTTTTATTGGGGTGGCACAATGCTAAGAAAACAAATAGTGTTACCGTATTAAAATAACATAAAATGTGATTTTTTTTTTCTGTACATATCTACATCTGTCCATCATTTCCACATAAGTAAAATGTTACATCAATACAGTTACTGCTGAAAGTAAACAAAGACAAAACTATGTTGATATTATATATTTTAGTCATTCATGAGGAAACTATATATTTGAATATATAAAAGTAAATCAAATTACTTTTCAGTGCAATGTTAACTTTAAGAAAAACATTTCATACAAACAGGTCATAGAAGTTATTCATTCTACATGCTATGCATGAGTCTAATGATTAGAAAGCAAGTGGGACAGCACTGTATAAAGGGTATAAGACGTCGTAACCCAAATGTTAAGAAGAGCCATTTTGTCCTTTTAACAAAAATCAAACCACCTTGGGGCCACAATATTTTATGTCCATTTTACCATCTTGGCTGTAAATACGTCTCAGTGTGTTCTAATGTCCTAGTATAGACTAAAAATATAATATAAACGTAAACGCAGACTTACTTTGCTTTTATCTTTAGCTCAGCTGTAACCACTTTTCTCGCATCTTCGGCAGGAAACTTTTCCTCAAAAGTGGAACAGTTCATTATAAAATGTCTCTCAACAATCGACTTTTCAGTCAGCTTCTCACTCA